TTAATTCACACTAATTCAATTAATGCGGTCTGTTACATAGATGGATTTTTGCATTTTGAACCGTATTTGCGCGTTTGGGTAGATTCACTTGGTTGTGGTATATTCAGTGATCTCTTACAATGCTGTTTAACTCATTTTGCAAGTATTTTTTGAGAATTTTTGCACCAATAGTCATAAGGGGTATCTAGTTTCCTTGCACTGTCTTTGTATCAGGGTAATGCTGGCTTCATAGAATTAGTTGGGAAGTTTTCCCTTCTCATCAATTTTTTGGGAAAAGTTTTAAAAGGCTCGGTATTAATTCCTTAAATGTTTGGTAGAATTTACCAGTTAGACCCTCTGGTCCTAGGTTTTTCTATTTGGGGTTAACCCTCCTTAGTGGTTATGGGTCTGTTCAGTTTTTCTGTTTCTTCATTAGTCAGTTTTTGTAGATTGTGTTTCTAGAAGTTTGTCCATTTAACCTAAGTCACTAAATTTTTTGTTTATAGTATTCTCCTGAAATCCTCCCTCACTTCTTTTTTTTTCAACTGTGCAGCACATGTCTTGCAGGACCTTAGTTCCCTGAGCGGGGACCTAACCTGTACCCTCAAACATGAAAGCACAGAGTCCTAACCACTGGACTGCCAGTGAGTTCCCTTATAATCCTTTTTGTTTCTGTAAAATTGGTAATAATGCCTTCCTTTTTATTTTTGATTCTAGTAATTTGTCTTCTCTTCTTTTTTCTTGAGGCCAGTCTAGCTCAAGGTTTGTCAATTAAAAAAAAAATTTACTTATTTATTTTTGGCTGTGCTGGGTCTTTGCTGCTGCTCTTGGGCTTTCTCTAGTTGTGGCCAGTCAGGGCTACTCTTGGTTGCAGTACCCGGGCTTCTCATTGTGGTGGCTTCTCTTGTTGCAAAGCTTGGGCTCTAGGGCTCACACGCTTCAGTAGTTGTGGTGCATGGGCTTAGTTGCTCTTTGGCATGTGGGATCTTCTCGGACCAGGGATCAAACCCGTGTCCATTGTTTTGCAAGGTGAATTCTTAACACTGTACCACCAGGGAAGCCCTGTGTCAATTTTTTTTGATCCTTTCAAAAAAACAACTTTTGGTTTCATTAATTTTCTATATTTTTCTATTCGGTATTTTCTCTCTTCATTCTAAACTTTATTATTATTTTTATGTCTGTTATCCTTGGGGTTTATTTGCTCTTTCTTGTTTCTTGAAGTATATAATTAGGTTATTAATTTGTGACCTTTTTTTCTTTTTAACTTTATGTACTTATAAATTTTGCTCTTTGCATTGCTTAGGCAGCATCCCACCAGTTTTGGTGTGCTGTGTTTTTATTATCATTCATCTCAAGGTACTAAGTTTTCACTGTGATTTCTAATTTGACCCGTTGGTTCGTGATGACTGTTAATTTCCACATAACAAATTTTCCAGTTTTCTCTTGGGTTATTGATTTCACATTTCATTCCATTGTGATTGAAAAAAAATCTTTGTAAGAGGTCAGCCCTTTTAAAATTATTAAGATGTGTTTTGTGGCCTAACATATTGTCGATTCTGGGAAATGTTCCACCTGTACTTGAGAAAAATGTGTATTCTGCTCTTGTTGGATAGAGTATTCGCTATATGTCTTTTAGATTGAATTGGTTTTCAGTGTTGTTCAGCTCCTCTGTTTCCTTGTTGATTTTCTGTTCAGTTCTATCCATTATTGAAAGCTGGGATAAAGAGTTTATGTTTGGAATAATGAAATTCTAGAAATATAGTGGTAATGGTTATACAACATTGTGACTGTATTTAATCCCACTGAATTGCACACTTAAAATGGTTAAAATAGTTAAAAAAATTATTGAATGTTAAAAAAAAAAAGGAATCAGAATTCTAAGACTGGAAAAAATGGCCATTTGAAAAATGAATCAAGGAACTACTGGAAATAAAAATTCCAGTTATTGAATTTTAAATTTTAATAGACGTAGACCAAAGTCCCAACATAGCTACTGATAGAATTAATGAACTTGGATATCTGACAGGATAGTCAGTAATGAAGTGCTTAGAAAAGAGAAGAAAATTACGAAAGAAGTTGAGATATGGAGACTAGAATTAGAAAATTTTGAATGTATCTAAAAGGAATTTCAGAAAAAGAATAGAAGGAACTTCCCTGGTGGTCCAGTGGTTAACAGTCCACGCTTCCACTGCAGGGAGTATAGGTTTATCTCTGGTTGGGAAACTATGATCCCACATGCTGTTCCGTGAGGGCACAAAGATCACATACACACACAGAGAATAGAAAGATAGTGTTCAGAGAGACGAGGCTGCTGCTGCTGCTAAGTCACTTCAGTGGTGTCCGACTCTGTGTGATCCCATAGACGGCAGCCCACCAGGCTCCCCCGTCCCTGGGATTCTCCAGGCAAGAGTACTGGAGTGGGGTGCCATTGCCTTCTCCGGAGACAAGGTGAGGATCTTATAAATAAATGAAAGAAGTGACCACTCAGATTCTCTCTTTGTCTCTCTCTCTCTCTTTGTCTCTCTCTCTCTTTGTCTCTCTCTCTCTTTGTCTCTCTCTCTCTGTCTCTGTCTGTCACACACACACACACACACACACACACACACACACACACACACACACACACACACACACACACACACACACACACACACACACACACACACACACACACACACACACACACACACACACACGGAATAGAAAGGCCGTATTCAGAGAGATGAGGCTAGGATCTTAATTAATGAAAGACACGACCACTCAGATTCAGAAAGCCCAAAAAAGAACACCAAAGACAAAAAGGTTTTAAAAGCAACTAGAGTAAAAAAGATTCCTGCAAATTCACAGCAAGTTTTGCCACAGCATCAGTAGAGGCCATAGTAGAAAGTGTCTTCAGAGAATGTCTGTAAACCTAGAAATAATGACTACAATTTTGGGGGGACAAAAGAGGGAACAAATTCTGGGTAACATGTAATGGAAAGGAATAGTTGGAGTTAGTATTTAAAGTTTTTGTGCTGTTCAGAAAGAAGAGTGAAAGACACTTAAGAAGTAGATGATATGTTTGTTTTCACATCGGTAAGTATTTTAAAACAAAATTTCTCAAAGTGTATTGTTTAGAGTGTTAATAACTTTTTTGAAGAAAGTTTAAAACTTAGAAATATATAGGAGAATGACACCATGACCTTAGGGAAGAGTTTTAAGATATAAAGTGCACAAAGTTTAAAAGAAAATACTATTATATATGATTACATAAAATTAGGAAGTTGTGCTTATCATGAAACACTGGTAAAAGACATAGGTATTTCAGAGAAGGTGGAAGTATGAATGATCACAAGGCATGAAAAAAATGCTAAACCTCATTAGTAAATGAGAAAATTAATGAAGCATTAAATTTTCATACCCACTGTACTACAAAAAGTAAAAAGTCTGATAGTGGTCAACTTTTAGTAAAGATGTATTAAAAAAATGGACTATTCAGTGTTGGAAATGTGAATTGTTGTGATCACTTTGAAAAATAGTTTGGCTGCCTCTAGTAAAGTTGAGCATACACACCTGTGACTTAGTAGTTCTGTTCCTAGGTGTCTACTCTAGGGACATATTTGCACACAAAAAAAGGTAAAAGTTAAGTGAACAAAATAGCAGCAGAACATGGAGGTGAAGAGCATTTGGAGGTACGCTGCCTGGGATAAGACCCCAGCTCTGCTACTTACTAGTTTTGTGACTTTTGGTAAGTTACTTAACCTCATTGTGACAGTGTTCTCTTCTGTAAATATAGTACTTTGCCCAATCATACAAAGTTGATACAAGGATTAAGTAAATTGTATGTAAAGCCTGTCTTATGTTGGGTACTGTTTGTGACAATTAGACATAACAGTATACTGCTACTGCTACTGCTAAGTCACTTCAGTCGTGTCTGACTCTGTGCAACCCCATCCCTGGGATTCTCCAGGCAAGAACGCTGGAGTGGGTTGCCATTTCCTTCTCCAGTGCATAAAAGTGAAAAGTGAAAGTGAAGTTGCTTAGTCATGTCCAACTCTTCGCCACCCCATGGACTGCAGCCTACCAGGCTCCTCCGTCCATGGGTTTTTCCAGGCAAGAGTACTGGAGCATAACAGTATAGATGAATGTAAAAAACATAATGTTGAGTAAAAGAAACAAGTTGCAGGAAAATACGTGTGACACACACAGTTTATACAGTTCAAAGCCTGTAACATTTAACAAAAGCTCTACAAGAAAATTATTAAAATTTAGGAAGGTAGATACCCTTTGGAGAGGAAGGAGATTGATGATATAGGGAAGGACAGATGGGAGGTTTCTCTCTCTGAAGGTGAAAGAAAGTGAAAGCAAAGTCTCTCAGTCGTGTCTGACTCTGCGACCCCATGGACTGCAGCCTACCAGGCTTCTCCATCCATGGAATTTTCCAGGCAAGAGTACTGGAGTGGGTTGCCATTTCCTTCTCCAGGGGATCTTCCCGATCCAGGGATTAAACCTGGGTCTCCCTCATTGCAGGCAGATGCTTTACCATCTGAGACACCAGGGAAGCCCTTAAACTCATTGGTAAATCACAGAGGTGATTTTCATTTTCTTTGGACTGTACATGTTTATGTATTTTATTTCATAATAAAAAATAAGAGTGGGATATGTGGAGTTTAAACACTTGTTTTATGGAGGACTTCTTAGACATTGATAATGTTAATTGTGCATTGTGAACTTCAAAGAGCCACATAGAATTTTTAGTGCTCTCCGCTTGGTTATGGAACCTTTTGGGTCTTAATAGCTACATTATGTGATAGTTGATCTTGAGCTTGAGTTTTAGTGGATAAATAGGACTGTTTCACAGATGCACAGTTATTTTAAATCACCTACTATAGTACATTTAGTTTGCTTACATTTTGTAATCTTATGAGCAATATTGAAATATTTTATTAAAATTTTTTTTATAAACTGAAGTCATTGCTTATACCTTGAATTATGAAATCTTTACCCACCTGATTTGTACTATTTCATTTCCTTTACTAAAGGAAGGAATTGTTGAGAATCTTTTCAAATGGGCCCGAGAGGCTGATCAGCCACTGAGGACATACTCTACTGGTCTGTTAGGAGGTGCTATGGAAAATCAAGACATTGCTGCCAACTACAGGGATGAAAATTCACAGCTGGTAAGGACTGTGTCAGAATGATTTTCTCATGCAAGATAGTATATTCACTCATTCTTTCTTGCTATTTGAAGTTGAGTCAGTAGATCTTATTCTTATTATAGCTATACTTTAGTACAATGAATATCAGTATTTCAGCTCCTACCTTATGTAAGAGTTTTGACTGTACCTTTTTTTAACTTTAATATAGCAGTTTTTCATTTTGTCAAAGATCATGATAGTTTGTACCAGATAAACAGTACCATTCCCTCTTACTTTGCTACATTTGGATTATGAAAAATTTCAAACATATAGCAAAGTACAATTTTACAGCAAACACCTGTATATTGACCACTTACATTAATTGTGAGCGTTTACTGTACTTACATTTATGACGTACTCATCTGTCCATTTACCCCTCTTTTCTGTGTATTCACCATTGTTTGTTTTTTTAAATGCAGTTTAAAATAAGTTGCAGGCCTGATCACTTTTTTTAAAACTAAGCATAATACTACAGTTTTTGATTGGACCAAAAAATGAGTATCTAAAGGAAAACGTAAGTGGTGAACTTGAAAAATAGCTTATGTAATTATGTGTAATGTGGATGACAGTATTTAACAGAATACAGATAAAAGTTTGAAAAACCTTTGTGTTTGATTTTCAAAGACATGTGTTAAAAATTGTGAATATACCTAGTGTCTGCCCCTTCAAATGTGATGGTCCAGTCCAGCATGATCCAGACAGATGTGTTGTGAATTCGGTTTTATCTGTAAATCTTCTGGTTTGGATTCTTGGAAATTTTATGGGGAATGAGACTTTTAGCCATTATTATATTTCATCAAGCTGTAGGAATCAAGTCAACATACTTGTCAGATCTGTACTCTTACCAGTCATTGAGATAACTGCCTGAGTATCCTTAAATGGAAGAAAGAATTACTTGACTTGTTTAAATTAAGATACAGAAGAGATAAACCTGTTTTATTCCAATATCTGTTGATAGGTGGCATTAGTGCTTCGAAGATTGAGGGAGCTACAGCTTCAGGAAGTAACTTCAAGGCAAGAAAGCAAGCGTCCTAGCCCACGAAAGCTCTCCTCTGAACCCCTCTTGCCTCTGGATGAAGAAGCTGTGGATATGGACTATGGCGACATGGCTGTAGATGTAGTGGATGGCGAACAAGAGGAAGCTTCTGGAGACATGGAGATCTCCTTTCATCTTGAGTCAGGCCACAAGACCAGTAGCAGAGTGAACTCAGCAACCAAACTTGAAGAAGGGGCATTGAGGAAAAACAAGTCAACAAAACAGGCTGATAGAGAGAGCTTCAGGAAAGCCAAGCAAAAGTTGGGTTTTTCATCGTCTGATCCAGACCGCATGTTTGTTGAATTGTCCAATAGCAGCTGGTCAGAAATGTCCCCCTGGGTGATTGGCACCAATTATACCCTTTATCCTATGACTCCTGCTATTGAGCAGCGACTTATTCTCCAGTATTTGACCCCTTTAGGAGAATATCAGGAGGTAAGCTTACTGGGAAAAGTAGTGTTCACGCTTCAAGACTACTGTGTTTATTTCTGGGGTATTTTGTGGTGGCATATTATACATTGATGTGTTTTCATTCTAATACAGAAAAGTCTGTGTCAAACTGGTAAAGTCTTATTGAAGTCACTCCTGATAAGGTCTTTTCGAACAAAACGTGTTTATATGTTTATAAAGGAGGGAGGAAGAGTTTCTTTAGTCTTCTGTCAGGAAATATGTGAAAATAAATTCAAATGTTAAGACATGTCTTTGGTGTTCATTTCAGTTACTTCCCATATTCATGCAGCTTGGGTCACGGGAGTTGATGATGTTCTACATTGACTTAAAACAGACTAATGATGTCCTGCTTACATTTGAGGCACTCAAGGTAAAGTTCTTTAAAATATTACTGAGCATTTAATTAATGTGGATTGTCTATGTGTTTTGGTATATAACATCTCTGTATTTTATTTAGAATGTTTCTATTACCAGATGTGTCAGTAGTAACAAATGAAAATTTCTTATTTAAATAGAAGAGTTGAGGCTTACCAAGTTTAACTGTATACATATTGTATGATGTTAGGTTATCTAGAGTAGATAAAGTATAAATCAGAAAATGAATAAAGAAATAGAGGCATACCCAAATTCTGTGAAAGTAAAGGAATTTCTAGGTTGCAAAGGGGCTAAATATAGGAGGGCAGGTATGTCTAGCCCACTAAATCCATACCTCTTCATGATAATTAAGGTAATCTGAAGGGAGAGAGGTTAAGTTGAATGAATAACATTGTGGCTGTTACAGTTCTACCTAACAGGTAACTAATGGACACAGTACTGTTCTGTGATACTTACAGGATTAGACAAATAAATTAAGTCTCTGCTGCTTATCATTTGGTTGAGAGAGCCAGGCATGTAAGCCTATGATTTCTTTTAGATATCATAGATGTTGTGACAGAAGTATTAGGGCACAAAGGAAGGAATGGTCTGTTCTCCTTGAGAAATAGTAGCTTCTAGACAAAACCTCTGAAAAAGAGATGATGTTCTCGCTCTTTCAAGGTATAATTTCATTCCTGATATTCCAGAGCTACACTGTTCAATAGAAGTTTCTGTGATGATAGAAATGTTCTTTGTGCTTTTCAGTACAGTGGCTACTAGCCATAAACGAGCATGTAAAATGTAGCTAGTGCCACTGAGCCCCTGAGTTTTTAACTTAATTTTAATGAAATTAGCCACATGTAGCCAGTGACTACTGTGTTGGCCAGCACAGTTCCAAAGTGCATTGGAATTAAATAGAAATGATGAAATTTGACTTGCAGACCCCAGAAATTTTAAGTTTGGAGGAGGTTAGACATAAATTGGAGTAACGTGTGTGGAATGCAGTGTGTGTGTGTATAAAGTGTGCAAACTCATGATTTTACTTTGAACAGTGGGATGAAGCTGGAGGTCAGAGTTGTCTCCAGTGGCCCAAGGTATTGTTTTCATATGCAGCATCCTGTCTTGAAAAGGAAATAGTGGAAGAAAGGCTTTGGGCAGTTGCTATTTCTGTAGGTCTTTGTATGAGAACCTATAATGGGTGCCATTATTCACCTGTTTCTATGCAGAATCATAAGGGATTAGAGAAAATGAAATAAGGATGAACAGGGTAAAACCAGATGAGATCCTTTTATGGGGAAATAAAAAGTGTAGAAAGTTATGTGTACGGTTTTGTTCAAAGGGAAGACTCAGTTGTGCAGGAGAAGGGGTAAGTGTTGAAGTTAGTAGAAACAAAATGCGTTAAAAAATTAAGAACTAGACCTTATACAGTATAAGGAGTGAGGTGAGCCAGGTTATGGGCTGTATTGAGCCAACTAGAATTAAGGTTCTTGGTAAAGATTGAGCCTGTTTGTTCTCTGTTTTCCCTACTGCTGATTCTGGCAGTGGAACTGCCACTTTATGGTAGTGGTTTTGAGAAAAAAGCACATGTAATGGCCTGAGTATTAGGGAGGGAACCATACATGGTTTAGCTGTTTCTTAGGGAAAGGTTTGGGTGGTAGAGGTTTGTGTATCAGACAGGAAAAGTAAACCCCGAAGGGGTTTGAATTATGTATAAGGATTAGTCCGAGTCTGTGTATTGAGAGAACTTCTGAAGAGGGTACACACCTATGTGTGTGTGAAATTTGTATAATTATCCGTTACAAATCTGTATTGTTTTGTCTGTACCTGCTGCCTGTCTCATGACCCAGAAGACACTTTTGTGTGAGAAACAGGAGGGGGAGCTCTAGTTCTCTGGAGGCCGCATCCATATTGGCCTGGATTCAAAGTCATTGAGTAGCCTACTGCTTGCATTGCACTGCCTGCCCTTAGATTGCCCAAAGTTGAGGTACACCCAGAGAGGCTAGTTAGAATCGGATAGCAAGGTAACAAAACTTAAAAGACAACAAAAAGTTGTCTAATATAGACTTAATGAAATGTGTTATTAATAAAGTCTATTTAAAGTGCATTCTGATTAGTACCAGAAATGTACTAGTTTTTATAATTTGCTGAAGATTGTTTTTCAGGATATAATCAAGTATCAGTTTAAAAGAAAGCAGAGTTTTGGGTGAATCAGTGACTGAGCCAAAGCTAAAACATAGATCTGATTATGTTTAAAAGGATTAAAATGGAAAGGGTGACAAAAATCCATTAGGGAAACTATGTAATAGTAAAGCGATTATAGGAGTGTGTCATAATGTACAGTAGTATTCTTCATTTCTTGTTTTTCACCTTAATGAAAACCTTTGGTATTAGGAGGGAATGTTACAGAATTCTAAAGTTTTTGTTTGCTTATTTTTTGTTTCCCTTAAACAGTATTGGTTTTACTTCTGTTTTGAAGGGGTGGTTGTCTACTTCTAAGGAGTCTTTGTATTTAGCAACTTAATATTCTGTGAAGAGATTTGTTCTAGATTGTCCCATGGTAATATGTATCTTTGTGTAGCACCTAGCATCTCTCCTGCTCCACAATAAGTTTGCCACAGAATTTGTTGCACACGGTGGAGTACAGAAATTACTGGAAATTCCTCGTCCTTCTATGGCTGCAACTGGTGTATCAATGTGCTTGTATTACCTGTCCTACAACCAGGATGCCATGGAAAGAGTAAGTTCAGTCTATTCAGATGTATGGGAATGGTATAGGGTGGGGACTACTCTCATGCATTCACAGAAAAGCTTTTGGATAAGAAAATTAAATAGTTGGATTAGGTTTTAATGAAAGGAGCAAGTACCATGAATGTCTGATCTTTACTGAGCATTCTGTTTTCAGGCTCTTCTCAGGTGTCCCTCAGTAGAGTTACATATTGCATTTTCGAGTCAGTCAATTATAAAAACAACAGATGATTCTTAGTGTATGTTAACAGGATAGTTTGTGGTAGAGATAGTAAAATCATTCCAGTTGTTCTTAGGGCTCCAGAGGTACCCCCTCTGGTTTTTCTGTTTTTCCAGTTAAGATTTTTTATTTCATTTTTTTTTTTTTTTTTAATGTAAGTGGGTTACGTTAGAAAAGAAATGGATCCCTAGACACCACAGCAACCCTTGTTGTTTCTATATCTGGAGCATTCTTCTGTATTTTATGCAATTGTAGCTTTTCTGGTAGAGTGAAGTTGGTAAATTCCTCTTGAGTGGTGTGTTTTTTCTTCTGTGCAAATTTATTAATGGGGTAATCTTCTGATTTTAATTTTTTTACTCGTTAAGATCTAGCTTTCTGCAAAGATACATAATCTTTTGAGAGTAGTGACCTAATCTGTATTTGTACAGAATTAATTGTGGTTAAGATTTTAAAAAGTGCCAAACAAACATTGGTAATGCTTCAGAATTCATTGTCTGACAGGAGTCAGCACCATTTGTGAGAAGAAATCAGTGAGTGAATGGATACTGAACTTGTAGACTTCAGTATCAGAAGGCTCAGTTACTTTTAACTTTCATCAACTTTTTTATCAGCCTGGGAAAGTCCCTTACATCTCTGAGCTACTTCATTAGTTAAGTGGTGATCCTGATACCTCTATAACAGAGCATTGTGAGCATTAAAGGATATAAATATTTGCAAAGTTTGACACTCGGAAAGCTTAGGTGGAATTTAAACATTTCTCTAAATTTAGATTGTTTTCAGCCTTGGAATAGATTGTCATAAAATTTTATTTGCAACTTAAGCTTTAAATCAGAATGACTTACTCTGGAATGATTATTGTATTTTGCAGATACCTATGTACAGTGGTGAATTTTTTATACGTTCTGGAAGTTCCTTTCCCCCTAGTTTTAAAAAATTGTGTTTTATTTTTATCCTTTGCAGGTTTGCATGCATCCCCACAATGTTCTGTCTGATGTGGTGAATTACACACTGTGGCTAATGGAATGTTCACATGCCTCGGGATGCTGCCATGCTACCATGTTTTTCTCAATCTGCTTCTCCTTCCGGGCTGTGTTGGAACTCTTTGACCGCTATGATGGTCTTCGTCGTTTGGTGAACTTGGTGAGGTTCTTCAGTGGCTTCGCTTTGTGAGGAGTAGGGGTCCTGCTTGACGTGACTGCCCTTCAGCAGTACTGAAGAGAGAAAGCCTCTGACTGGAGGGGTTTTTCTGTCATTTTTATGGATAAAGTCTTTATTCCTCCTTCATTCACAACTTTTTCTTCCTCTTAAGTGGTCAGAGGACTATGCCATTGTAGACTTGCCTTGAAGATAGTAATCTTACAGGAGGAATTGCTTGTTCTAAAAGCAGTTTTGTGCCTGTGTGTCTTTCAACATGATTGAAAGCTATGTAATTTTTCAATATAGGTTTAGTGTTTTGTTTTCATATGTCTGCTCTTAACATGGTGTATAGACAGATGTACTTTGATGTTTATCAAGCTTCTTGAGCATAAAAATCTACTGAAATCTTTCTACTTTTTTCTCCTTTTACTTTTCCTGTTTGTTCTTTCTTTTTTGCCCCATTCTTTTGCCCCTTTCTTAATAGATCAGTACTTTGGAGATTCTAAATTTGGAAGATCAGGGTGCACTTCTCAGTGATGATGAAATATTCGCTAGCCGGCAAACTGGGAAACATACCTGCATGGCCTTGCGCAAGTACTTTGAAGCTCATCTGGCCATTAAATTGGAACAAGTGAAGCAGTCTCTTCAGAGGACTGAAGGTGGCATTCTTGTTCATCCTCAACCTCCATACAAGGTGAGAGAACCTTGCCTAAAAAGAAACATTGTTAGTATTGTCTGTAGCATCTTGGGCCTGAAATGCACATTCATATCAGTGGAGTCCAGGTGGGGTGTACATTAATGGATTATACTTGGACTGTGAGGAGGCAGAATGAAATGCATGTAGGGGTGTAGGGACTTCTCTGGCTGTACAGTGGTTATATGACTCAACTTCAATGGCTCAGGTTCAATCCCTAGTCAGGGAACTAAGATCCTAGCTGCATGCTCCAAAGGGGAAAAAAAAAAGAAAATGGATGTATCGAGAACTTACTTTGCTCCCAGTTGTAAGTTTGCTACTTTGCTGGGATACTTAAAAGATAAACTGAGATGTGTGTGAAAGGACTTTTTTCTGTGGAAAGTATTAGATAGATATTTTAGCTGCTTCTATGTGGAATTTTTTTCTGAAACCTGGTGCATCTTCACTATCATTTTTGAAATTAGTATGTTTTAGAACAAAGATGAGTATCTGCATGTTTTAAAAGTCAGTTATTTTATGTGGTGCTTCTTTTTCTTCTTAAGGTGTGAAATACATGCACCAATAATTTGAACATTCTGTTACCTTTTTTGGCAGAATGTATTATGAGTCTAGTTAGAAATAAAAAATGAAGCATCATTTATATATATTATTTCACATGTGGGCTGTGGACTCAAGAAGTGTGTGTCAAGACTTATTACTTAGCTTTATTATTAAACTCTTTTGAGCATTGAGCTGTGCTGGAAAAAACAGCAGGCAGATTGATAGAGCTCTTTAATAATATAACTCTGTTCTTTTAGGCGTGTTCATATACTCATGAACAGATTGTGGAAATGATGGAGTTTCTGATAGAATATGGCCCAGCGCAGCTGTATTGGGAACCAGCAGAAGTCTTCCTCAAGCTGTCTTGTGTCCAGCTCTTGTTGCAGCTTATTTCTATTGCTTGCAATTGGAAGACCTATTATGCAAGGTGGGACCAGAGAGAGGCTTCACAGATTGGCTTTTTGCTTATGTTAATTTTGGTTTTCACATGGTATATGCTTAACAAACATTTGTTGAATTGAATTAAAATTTTGGACTTGAATCTGAGAAAATAGATGAAGTGTGATAAATATCTTTAAATTTATAGAGTGCTTGGTCTTGGTGATTATAAATACTGCACCATAGGTAAGGATCATATCTGTACTCTTAGAGATGTTAAGCAATCTATGTGGCTACAGCTTTCAGAGGTGTGTTGAAGTCATCCTGAGACTGGAGTCTAGTGTTCTTTGTACTTAGACTTTAAATGTCTCGCTACTGCTTGGCAACCCATATATGATGTATATTTGACCTTCACATACAGCTGTATTTTTTGCTTTTGGTAGGGTTTTTACCATAAGAACAAAGCAGGGCAAGGCTCAGGGAAAAACAGCTAATGGAATCAGGCAGCTGGGTAGGTTCTATTTGAGGTTGATACAAAAAGAAAGCTATTGTTTTGGATAAGAAGGAGTCTGGAGAGTACAAAGTAATAAAGTTTATAAGCTGTGGTTCTTGACCTCCTTGCCCTATCCACCCACTGCCATTAAGACAGGAGGTTTCTTACTCTAAATCCTAGGATAGTTTAATCTAGAGGACTACTTTTGGAGTGGTCATCTTCAAGCTTTTTGGTCTCAAAATTCCTTTAACGGTACTAAAAATTATTAGAACCCTTAAGAGCTTTTGTTTTTTATCTATTGATATTAGAAATTAAAACTGAAAATGTAAATATATTTACCCACTTTTTAAAAAATAATCTGAACCCATTGCTTATTGGCATTTTTTATGAAAAGTTTCCAAAATAAAGCCAGCTGATTTTCAGCAAGTATCTGGCTTAATAGATCTCATATCTGCTTCTGTATAAAACCTTTTGTGACATCACACATGACATAGCCTCTGGAAAACTCTGTATACACTCATGAGGGAAGGAGAGTGAGAAAGGAAAAATAACATCTTAGTGTTATTATGAAAATGTTTTTAAAATCTCAGCACCTTTTGAAAAGCTCTTAGAGACACCTAGGGTCCCCAAGCATACTTTCAGAATCACCGTTTTTAGAGTATTAAAGGAGGTTATTATATTTACTTGGAGAACATTGCTTTAAAGATAATGAAAACTCAAAGGATAATAAGGTTATAAATACATTTTTTGAATGGTAAGTCCGTATATAGATTACTTAAGAAAAAATAAGTATGTCCATTAAAAGCTTACTTTTGTAAAAATAGAATTAAAACTTGTTTTTGCTTAGAATATACAAAAACCTTAGAAATGAAAATTATTCTTTGTTCTTGTTCAGTGGCCAAATTGTGTCCAACTCTTTGTGACCTCATGAACTGTAGCCTGCCAGGTTTCCTTGTCCTTGACTGTCTCCCTGAGTTTGTGCAAACTCACATCCATTGAGTTGGTAATGCCATCCAACCATCTTATCCTCTGTCACCCCCTTCTTCTCTTGCCTTCAACCTTTCCCAGCCTCAGGGTCTTTTCCAGTGAACTGGCTCTTCACATACGGTGGCCAAAGTATGGAAGTTTCAGCTTCAGCATCAGTCCTTCCAGTGAATATTCAGGGTTTATTTCCTTTAGGATTGACTGGTTTGATCTTGCTGTCCAAGGGACTCTCAAGAGTCTTCTCCAACACCACAGTTCGAAAGCATCAGTTCTTTGGCATTGACCCTTCTTTATGGTCCAACTCTCATATCCATACATGACTACTGGAAAAACCATAGCTTTGACTATATGGACCTTTGTCAATAAAGTGATGTCTGCTTTTTAATATGCTGTCTAGATTTGTCATAGCTATTCTTCCAAGGGACAGTTCAGTTCAGTCGCTCAGTTGTTTCCGACTCTTTGCGACCCCATGAACCACAGCACGCCAGGCCTCCCTGTCCATCACCAACTCCCGGAGTTTACGCAGACTCATGTCCATCGAGTTGGTGATGCCATCCAACCATCTCATCCTCTGTCGTCCCCTTCTCCTCCTGCCCTCAATCTTTCCCAGCATCAGGGTCTTTTCAGATGAGTCATTTCTTCATGTCAGGTGGCCAAAGTATTGGAGTTTCAGCTTCAGCATCAGTCCTTCCAATTAACACCCAGGACTGATCTCCTTTAGCATGGACTCGCTGGATCTTCTTGCAGTCCAAGGGACAGTCAAGAGTCTTCTCCAAAACCACAGTTCAAAAGCATCAATTCTTCAGTGCTCAGCTTTTTTTATAGTTCAACTCTCATATCCATACATGACTACTGAAAAAACCATAGCCTTGACTAGACGGACCTTTGTTGACAAAGTAATGTCTCTGCTTTTTAATATGCTGTCTAAATTGGTCATAACTTTCCTTCCAAGGAGTAAGCTTCTTTTAATTTCATGGCTGCAGTCATCTGCAGTGATTTTGGAGACCCCCAAAATAAAGTCAGCCACTGTTTCCACTGTTTCTCCATCTATTTATCATGAAGTGATGGGACCAGATGCCATGATCTTAGTTTTTTGAATGTTGAGTTTTAAGCCAGCTTTTTAGTTACTTTTCTTTAGGTTCTTTAGTTAGTTTTCACTTTCTGCCATTAAAGTGGTATCATCTGCCTATCTGAGGTTGTCGATACTTCTGGCAGTCTTATTTCTAGCTTGTGCTTCATCCAGCCCAGCATTTTGCATGATGTACTTTGCATATAAGTTAAATAAGCAGGGTGACAATATACAGCCTTGACGTACTCTTTTCCCAATTTTGAGCCAGTTCATTGTTCCATGTCTGGTCCTAACTGTTGCTTCTTGACCTGCATGCAGGTTTCTCAGGAAGCAGGTGTGGTGGTCCAGTATTCCCATCTCTTGAAGGATTTTCCAGTTTGTTGTGACCCACACAGACAAAGGCTTTCACATGATCAATGAAACAGAAGTAGATGTTTTTCTGGAATTCTTTTGCTTTTTCTGTGATCGAGTAGATGTTGGCAGTTTGATCTCTGGTGGTTCTGCCTTTCTAAATCTAGCTAGTACATATGGAATTTCTCAGTTCACATACTACTGAAGCCCAGCTTGAAAGATTTTGAGCATAATCTTGCTAATATGTGAAATGAATGCAAATGTATGGTAGTTTGAATGTTCTTTGGCATTGCCCTTCTTTGGGATTGGAATGAAAACTGACCTTTTCCAGTCCTGTGGCCACTGTTATTGAGTGCAGCTCCTTAACAGCATCATCTTTTAGGATTTGAAATAAGTTCAGCTGGAATTCCATCACTTCCGCTGGTGTTGTTCGTGGTAATACTTCCTAAGGCCCACTTGACTTTGCGCTCCATGATGTCTGCCTCTAGGTGGGTGACCACATCATCATGGTTATCCAAGACATTAATAACTTTTTGTACAGTTCATCTGTATATTCTTGCTACCTCTTCTTAATCTCTACTGCTTCTGTTAAGTCCTTGTTGTTTCTGTCCTTTATTGTGCCCATCTTTGCATGAAATGTTCCCTTGGTATCTCTGATATTCTTTTTTTTTTTTTTCCTCTGATACTCTTTAAGAGATGTCTAGTCTCTTCCATTCTATTGTTTTTTTCTATTTCTTTGCATTTTCACTTAAGAAGGCTTTCTTATCTCTCCTTGCGATTCTCTGGAACTCTGCATTCAGTTGAATATATCTTTCACTTTCTCTTCTCTTCTTTTCTCAGCTATTTGTAAGGCATCCTCAGACAACCACTTTTCTTTCTTGCCTTTTCTTTTTTGGGGGATGGTTTTGGTCACTACCTCCTTTATAATATTAGGGACTTTCATCCATAGTTCTTCAGGCATTCTGTCTACCAGATCTAATCCCTTGAATCTATTTGTCACTTCTCCTGTATAATCATAAGGCATTTGATTTAAGTCATACCTGAATGGCCCAGTGGTTTTCCCTACTTCATTTTGAGCCCAAATTTTGCACTAAGGAGCTGGTGATCTGAGACACAGTTAGCTCCCCGTCTTGTTTTGACTATATAGAGCTTTTCCATCTTCAGCTGCAAAGAATATAATCAGTCTGATTTCGGTATTGACCATGTGGTGATGTCCATCTATAAAGTCGTCTCTTGTGTTGTTGGAAGAGGATGTTTGTTATGACCAGTGCATTCTCTTGGCAAAACTGGTAGCCTTTGCCATCCTTCATTTTGTACTCCAAGGCCAAACATATCTGTACTATAGTTTATTCTCCTATTGATGGGCATTTGGTGTCTTTTTTCTTTTTTCCTGTCAAATGAGTGGTACCATGAACCTCTTTTTGAAGTCCCTTCAATGCCAAACAGGTATATCTTGACTCCCTACTTTTGCATTCCAGTCCCTTATGATGAAAAGGACATCGTTTTGTTCTAGAAGGTCTTGCTTACAATATACAAAACCTTAGAAGTGGAAATTATTCTTAGCCTCTGTTAATTTCTTTAATCTCTTTTCCATAATTCTGTAAATAGACATAATTGAGATTATAGTCTTTAAACTAATCTTTTAAATGAAATACCTCAAATTATATGAAGATACAGAGATTAATATAACAACTACTCCATACTCAGCGTTGGCATGTTGCTTTCTCAGTTCCTTTCTATTTTCTGCCGCCCAGCCCAGAGTGACCACTCTTCTGATTTTGGTGTGCATTCTTTCCGGTCTTTTTTTATGCTATGCATATGTGTGGGTGTGTAATCAATGATATAGCACTCTTATTTTTTTTTTTTTTTTTTTTATTAGTTGGAGGCTAATTACCTTACAACATTGCAGTGGTTTTGGTCATACATTGAAATGAATTAGCCATGGATTTACATGTATTCCTCATCCCGGTTACTCTTATGTTTTAAAATTGTATAAAGTCTTATCTGTGCTTGCTTTCTTCACCCTTACTTTTACTTATTTTTTTCATATAAGTTTCAGGTATTCAGTCACCCTTAAGTGTTTGAGATTTATGTGTTGATACATATTTGAATTCTTATATTTGCATATTGGGTTTCCCAGGTGGCGCGGTGGTAAAAAATCTGCCTGCCAATGCAGGAGACCCAGGAAATGTGGGTTCAATCCCTGGGTTGGGAAGAGTCCCTGGAGTAGGAAGTAGAAACCCACTACAGTATTCTTGCCTGGAAAATTTCATGGAGCGTGGTGGGCTCCATGGGGTTGCAAAGAGTCAGACATGACTGAGTGACTAAGCACATTTCTATACTATGGTTGATTCTCCTATTTATGGGCATTTAGTGTCTTTTTCTTTTTTTTCCTGTCAAATGAGTGTACCATGAACTTCTTTTTGAGGTCTCTCTTGAGGATGTGATGTGTACAATTTGAGTTGTAATGTGCCTGCATCTCATCTATAGTGGATATTGCCAGATTGTTTGGAAAATGCTCACATTGTTGACTTCTCCCACAGCAGTCTATGGGAGTTTTCATTTTCTCTCCCTTCTTGCCAGTGCTTGGTATTGTCAGCTTTAAAATTTTATATCTTGGTTTTGTTTTTTGAGCCTTTTCATTTGTCCTTGGGAGTTTTTTTGAAATAATTGTTAGTAACTGCAAAGTAGTCCATCATATGTGTGTACCATAATTTAACACAGGTATTCCTGTTTTCTGTGTAAGTTTTCTTAATTATTTTGTTGTTTTACATGATGTGATAATAGACATCTTAATCCCTAAATACTTGTTTGTACTTCCGATTATTTCCTTAGGACAAATTCCTAAAGGTAAAATTCCTGGGCCAAAGGTTACAAACATTTTAAGAACCTTGTTTCATATTTCCAAATTGTTTTCTAAGAGGAGAATCCTATTTTCTTCTCCTACCAAAGGTTTGAGAGCATTTGTCTCTGCTCATCGTCACCAGCATTGGAGATTATCCTTTGTTTTTTAATCTTAGCAGTTTGATAGATGAAAATTCCATACCCATGTTTTTTTAAATTAATTTTGTGGTGACTTACAGATCCTCTCTTGATGCCATGGCTAGGGACAGATTCATTCAGGTAGTAAGTAGCTCTGACCCACTGTCTGTGTCTGTCAGTCTCTCTTTTAACAGAGATTGTTTCTTGTGGCTGTATCCGAGTTTCCCTTTGACTAATTCTTCTTTCTGTCCAGGAATGACACTGTGCGCTTTGCTTTGGATGTCCTGGCTATTCTCACTGTTGTGCCAAAAATTCAGCTCCAGTTGGCAGAATCAGTGGATGTACTGGATGAGGCTGGCTCCACCGTCTCCACTGTAGGTAGGTTGTACCTTGCCATTTTTGTCATTGCGTGGTTTTGTTTTCCTCTGCCATTCTGGTTGTGGTTACTTAACTGACCTAATTTTGCAGTATTAGAACAGAAGGTAGCAAAGGAGGGTACCCTTTAAGTTCTTTCAAGTCATGCCATCAGTTTCAAATAAGGGAGTCATGTTAGTGAACTCAGGTTTTCTGGGTGGTACAGGCATTTTTGCTATAATAGTACAAGTGCATTCCTGAAAACCTTGCACTCTGCAGAGTGTTATGCTGAAAATAGAATTTATAAGAAAAATGGGTTGGGACAGATAGCAAAAAACTTAAGCAACTCAAAATGAATAATTGGCAAGCAGCACAAATGAATAAGTTATTGTACACAAAAGCAAAAGGAAAAAACCCTTTATTAAGATCAGCACTGATGAGGGCTGCTGCTAAGGTGAGCATGCAAGTCATGTGAGTGGCTGTGGGCCCTAGAATGCACTAGGGAAGAAATGCACCTGGGGAGAAAGTTTCTTCATGTGTAGAAGAAAGGGTTTCTGCCGCCACTATAGCAGCCAGGCTGAGGACTTTTTCTTTCCTGCAGTAAGTTTTTATTTATTCCCACTGGTTTTTCCACTTACCTAGGAAAGCTTGTACATGAACCTTGGTGACTTCCACATAATACTGACATCATTCCCATATTTAAAAACTTCATATGAGGTATTCTGTCATAAAGATACATTGTAGTAGAACTCACTGCATTGTATACAGACTATTCCTTACCCTTAAGTCCATGGGGTCACAAGAGTCGGACTCGACTGAGTGAACTGAAGTGAAAATGGCTACACTTTTTAAAAAAAAATTACTTTAATTGGAGGCTAGTTACTTTACAGTATTGTAGTGGTTTTTGGACACAGTGAATAGAACTGTAAATTTTGACTCTGAAATAACCATTGAAGTTGGCCATTAGTGTTACGAGGAATAATATAAAAAAACTTTTCCCCCTATAGGTATCAGCATTATTTTGGGAGTGGCTGAGGGTGAGTTCTTTATTCACGATGCTGAAATTCAGAAGTCAGCACTTCAGATTATCATCAATTGTGTGTGTGGCCCGGATAATAGAATTTCTAGTATTGGCAAGTTTATCTCTGGAACGCCTCGGAGGAAGCTGCCTCAGACTCCCAAAAGCAGTGAGCACACTCTGGCCAAGATGTGGAACGTGGTGCAGTCCAACAACGGTATCAAGGTGCTTCTGTCCTTACTGTCCGTCAAGATGCCCATCACAGATGCAGACCAGATCCGGGCCCTAGCCTGCAAGGCCCTGGTGGGCCTGTCTCGCAGTAGCACCGTGCGGCAGATCATCAGCAAACTGCCCCTTTTCAGCAGCTGCCAAATCCAGCAGCTGATGAAAGAGCCTGTGCTGCAGGACAAGCGCAGTGACCACGTCAAGTTCTGCAAGTACGCCGCTGAGCTCATCGAACGGGTGTCGGGAAAGCCGCTTCTCATCGGCACCGACGTGTCCCTGGCACGTCTGCAGAAAGCCGACGTGGTTGCCCAGTCACGGATCTCCTTTCCTGAGAAAGAGCTGCTTCTACTGATCCGAAACCATCTCATTTCTAAAGGGCTTGGGGAGACAGCCACTGTGCTGACTAAAGAGGCCGACCTTCCCATGACTGCTGCCTCGCATTCTTCTGCCTTCACCCCGGTCACTGCTGCTGCTTCTCCTGTTTCTCTTCCCCGCACCCCTCGCATCGCCAATGGCATTGCAACTCGACTGGGTAGCCATGGTGCTGTGGGTACCTCTGCCCCTTCTGCCCCCGCTGCTCATTCTCAGCCGCGAGTACCCCAGGGTTCACTAGCTCTGCCTGGTCCATCTCATGCAGGCAACTCCCCTGTGATTGGTAGGATCAGTTTTATCAGAGAGAGGCCATCACCCTGCAATGGCAGGAAAATCAGAGTGTTGCGGCAGAAGTCGGACCATGGTGCCTACAGCCAGAGCCCAGCCATAAAAAAGCAGCTGGACAGACACCTTCCCTCCCCGCCTACGCTGGACAGTATCATCACAGAATATCTTAGAGAGCAGCATGCTCGCTGCAAGAACCCAGTTGCCACCTGCCCACCCTTCTCTCTCTTTACTCCTCACCAGTGTCCTGAGCCAAAACAGAGGCGACAAGCGCCAATAAACTTTACCTCAAGGCTAAACCGCAGGGCATCATTCCCAAAGTATGGAGGGGTAGATGGCGGGTGCTTTGATAGGCACCTTATCTTTAGCAGGTAAGGAGAGTTTACCTCACTCCCTGGGAATTGGATTGATTTTTCTGTTTAAGTTAGAGTATGTGGGCAATATCAGCATAAAGTAGTAACTGCAGAAGACCATTTGTTGGCCTGAAATACCAGGAATTATCGGTTTGTGTGAATACCTGAGCAGTGTGACTATACCCCCTGTTGTCAAGGGGAACCCAGGGGCTCCTTGTATAATTACTGGCAATAGAAGACACTCTGTTCTTGTTCTATTAGTATGTTTTCTAGAACCCATGCAACACTCTGTTCCTGATGGGGCTCTCAAGTTTGTACTTGTGCTGGTCCAAGTTGTTACCTCTTCTGATTCCTTAAAAATTTTACATTGGGACTTCCCCTGGTGGTCTAGTAGGTTAAGACTCCATGCTCCCAATGCAGGGGGCCTGGGTTCAATCCCTGGTCAGGGAACTAGATCCCATATGCCGCAACTAAGAGGTCACATGCCACAACTAAGATCCAGCACAGCCAAATAAATATTTTTTTAAAAAATCCTACATACAAGTCATGGGATCTCAGGTTTTTCACATGGGAATTTTTGTTGTTATTAACATTTTTTAGTGAAGGTCCAGTTCTCTCTTTTAAAATGAAGATGAACCACTGATGGTCACTGATAATTTGGAAGAACCCACTTGAAACAGAAAGGCTGTTTTTCTTTCTGTCCTTCTAACGGTTTTGTTTTTCCGAGTCTTTGCATGTTCTTTGTCTCTGATTCTCTTTTTCGGTTCAGGTTCCGTCCTATTTCAGTGTTTCGGGAAGCCAATGAGGATGAGAGTGGCCTGACCTGCTGTGCGTTCTCTGCACGAGAGCGCTTCCTGATGCTGGGCACCTGCACCGGGCAGCTGAAGCTCTACAACGTGTTCAGTGGACAGGAGGAGGCCAGCTATAACTGTCACAACTCGGCCATCACACACCTGGAGCCCTCCAGGGTAAAGCTCCCTTCCTAGGTTGTGCTCAGTCATGCTTCTAGGATAGGTTGGCGAACTGCAGGTGTGTGGGCTGACTGGTTTCCTGTATTCGTGTGTAAAGTTTTTTTGGAACACAGCCTTACTCACATGTTTATGTATTGTCCTGGATGCTCTGTGCTACCACAGCAGAGTTGAGTATTGTGGTTGCATGCAACACAGACCCTGTGACCTGCAAAACCTAAAGTATGTACTATATGGCCCTTATGTTTTCCAGTCGTTGTTCTAAGACCTAAAGATAGATGGATAGATTTTTAATTTGCTTTATTTTGAAACTGAAATTATCTATCAACTATGACCACAAAAGTTTTTGTGTTGGAAGAAAGTCTGTAAGTACTGTGAATTTTCAGGAAAAAAGCATTATATGATCCCAGTGGTAGGTCATAGTCTAGTAGTACTATTTATTTTAATTCTTTATATTGGAGTATAGCTGATAAGCAATGTTGTGATAGTTTCAGGTGGACAGCAGAGGGACTCAGCCATACATACACATGCTTCCATTGTCCCCTAAACTCCCCTCCCATCCAGGCTGCGACATAACATGGAGCAGGGTTCCCTGTGCTATACAGTATGACCTTGTTGGTTATCCACTGTAAATATAACTCTGTTATTGGTACTACTCTATGGATTAAATCAACACTTTTGCTGTTTCTACAAATCAAGACTGTTAAGATGACAAGGATAATTTTCCTCATTTTAAAGTGAAGGAGGTTGCTATATTTAAAATGCATAACCAACAAGGACCTACTGTATATAGCACATGAAACTCTGCTCAATGTTATGTGGCAGCCTGGATGGGTGGGAAGTTTGGGGGAAAGGGGATACATGTATGTGTATGGCTGAATCCCTCCGCTGTTCACCTGAAGCTATAACAACATTGGTAACTGGCTATGCCCCAATACAAAACAAAGAGTTTGAAAAAATTATAATGGGGGAATCATAAGGAATATAGAGTAAGTAAATTTGGTGATGAGCTGGGAAGAAAAATAAAGCAAATTGATCTTTTATTGGGCTTTCTCTTTGAAAAATCTTTTAAGAATCCTTAGCCACAGAGCCTTAACAGCTGTTTTCAGTTGACTGGTATTTCACATGAGGGAGATGTAGAAATAAGGCCAAATATTAAGAAAGGAGAAACCATGTTTGACATCTTTCTAAGTCTCATCATCCCCCACCCACCACACCCTTGAAACTATTGTATTTCATGTTACTAGTTCAGGAGGATTAAACATTCTCAAATTTAGTTATTTTTTGTGACATAGGAGGTGCATATTACTTAAATCTTAGCAGCTTCTGACCATTTCTTGATTCCTAAAAGTTTTTTTGTTTTCTTTATAATCCAGCAATATATGTTATATTTTAGAATGCTAATGAAAGATGGCATTTATGTAAACACATAATTACCCACCTTGGGCTTCCCATCTTCTTTTAGGATGGATCCTTGCTGCTGACATCGGCTACCTGGAGCCAGCCTCTGTCTGCACTTTGGGGAATGAAATCAGTATTTGATATGAAGTATGTATCTACTTTTATAATTCAGTGTTTCTGTTTTACAGTTTATCCCCTTTGTCTGATTCTTTGACTCAGAGCCTTTTGGGGAAGAGAGGAATGCTGTATGTTTTATTGCTGACTTCTCTCTTTCTCATCTGTGGTACATGTTTAATAAGATTTCTTTTTTCTTGGTTCCTGGGTATTCTTACCAAGTGTATACATTCCCATCAGACAACAGACCCTTCACTGATCGAGAATGGCACATCTTTGTATTTTATCATAGTGGCGCTCTTTGCTGGGGCATATTTCAGAGGCATATGTACCCTGTTAGCCATTGTTTTAACCAAGTAGTTCCCATTCATTTATTTTGAATCTGCTTGGACAAATTGATGGAGAGAATCTTCTTTTTAATCTTATGTGTACAATTTTTTCCTCTTTGGGAGCTGAGAATCTTCAGGTGCATATAGTCAGGCAAGAGGCTGAGGATCACTTTCTTTTCAGTTAAATAATTATGTTCTGAAGATCAGTTACATCAGTACTTGTGTTGTTTGTTCGTAGGCATTCCTTTACAGAAGATCATTATGTTGAGTTCAGTAAGCATTCTCAGGACCGGGTCATAGGCACGAAGGGAGACATTGCCCATGTAAGTATTTAAGAAGCCACATTTTTCAGGGTGATTTGTCTCTTTATACTGAAATTTATTGGACTGATAAATCAGACTGAGTCTGATTACTTAAGTCCTGTGGGCAACCAGAAATTACTCAGTGATAATTCTTTCCAGATAGAATCTGGAATTGTAATGAAGTAGTTTCAAGCTATATGGGAAAAATGTAAAAAGACTGAACAATCTTACAATGTGAGAACTGTTTCATTAGCACATAAGATACTTTAAAACACTATGAAGTAAAGTTCCTGTCTTGGTGGATCCATATAGGGGAGACAGTAAACAAAAAGAAGCAAATGCATGGTATGTTAGGTGGTGAGTGCTACCAAGGTAGAGAGAGCAGGGTAAGAGATAGGAAGTGCTTGGTGGTGGTGTGAGGGACTTCTTTTTCATCTAGGAAATAAGTGTCAGTGATTGGATAATGCTTAAGCAATGTCTTGAAGGAAGTGTGGCGTCATGCCAGATACCTTGGGGAAAGTGATCTGAGAATGGCAAGGGAAAAGCCATACCTGGGAGGCGGGAAGGAGAAGTGGGGGTGAGGACTGAAGTCAGTGGGGGGCATACCCTGTAGCCTCTTGTAGCAGTGTGTTGTTTAAGACCTTTGGCTTTTCCTGTGGATGAGATGGACACTGGAGGGTGACTAAGAAGGCATGTGATTGGATGTAAAATTCCTAAAGTGTGAGTCTGGTTTCTGTGAGAGAAGCAAGAGGAGGCTTTCCAGTTAGGAGGGCATTGTGCCAGCTAACGTGAGAGCTGCAGTGGAACTGGGCTTGGGTGGGCATGGGAGACAATGAGAAGTGACACAGCTGGGCCCTGGGCTTTTGATACATGGAGTTTGTGATTCTGTTAGACATTAAAATAGAGAATATACTAATTGGGGGTTCAGGAGAAAAGTCTGGGATGGGAGATAGAAATGTGGGCGTTGTCTGTGTATTGATAGCATGAACCATGGTCTTGGATGAGATCATTGAGGAGGCTGGAGAAGAGAAGTGTGAGGACAGTCCTGGCTTGGGCCAGTATTTAGAAGTTGCAGCATGAGCAGGAACTTGGGAAGGAGGACAAAAAGGGTGGACAGTTAGGTAGCAGGAGACCTTAGGAAAAAGACATGCCATTGAAGGCAAGGGAAAACTCTTGAGGACAGATTGATGATTTGGGCCAGAAACTGCTGATAGGTTGCAGAGCATGAGAATTGAGGGAATTTCCTGTTGGTCCAGTGGTTAAGACTCAAGGCTTTCACTGCCCAGGGCCTGGGTTCAGTCCCTGGTTGGGGAACTAAGATCCCATAAGCAATGTGGTATGACAAAAAAAGAAAGAATTGAGACATGATCTTTGAGTAACTGTGTGGAGGTCATTGTTAACCATGTCAGGAGCTAGTTCTGTGCGCTGTGGTGAAAATCTGATTAGAGTGGGTTCACGGGAGAGCAGGAGGAGAGAGATGGAGACAATATAGATAAGTCTATTGACATGGTTTGCTGAAAAACAGGGATGTGTGAGGGTAGTATCTTGAGGTGGGGGCGGTATGGAGTGGTGAAGGGAAGGTTTCTCCCAAGCTAAATTTCAAAGTTTTAAAATACGTAGATAAGTTGAAGCAGTAGTACTGGTAACTGTCACCTAGATTAGTCAGTTTAGTATTTTGCAGTATTTTCTGTGTAAATGTGTGTGTTTTTCTGAATCATTGAAAGTAAGTTACAAACACTGTGACGTTTTATCTCGTATCTTATAACGTGTATATACTAGCATTAATGACATTTTATTACATAATCACACTCATTATGAAATATAAGAAAATTTACAGTAATTCCCAAATGCCATCTAATTTTCATCCCATACTCAGTTTTCCCGATTGTTCCTGATGTGTTTGGTTTCAAATGTTTTTGTTTTTGTTTTTTGAACCAGGATCCAGCCAAGATTCACATATTGCATTTGGTTGTTATGTCTCACTAATGTTTTAGAGCCAAGAACCATTTCTCCAGTTTTCATGACATTGACTTTTGAAGAGACCAGGCTAGTTGTCTTGTCCCATGACCTGAATTTGTTTGTTTCCTTGTGGTGTCTCCTTATTTGTTGCTCTGTTAAAAGAGGTTTTTTTTTTGTTTGTTTTTTGTTTTTTAAAGATTGGAAATATTACAGCATGTCTGTAAGCTGATGGGAAAGAGCTGGTCTCTGTATGGGTTGCACATTGACAACTTTGGAACTTTTAGTGTTGTAGGGCCCTAAAAGAGTATATTGAGAGATTTTAAGGAGAAAAGGTTATTTCATTGATCTCCTTCCCCGAAAAGTAACCTGTATAAGAAAATTAATCAAAAGTATTCTTTGAGTAATGTTGGTTAGTCCACATGGAGAGTTTCTCAGTTTCAATCTTAGAAACGTTTTCTTTTTCTTGAAAGGGGGATGGAGGAGAAGAGGGTTTTCTTACCCCTGTTGCCGTTTTACTTCTCATTTTCTTACCTGTGGGAAGTACTTCTCAAAAAACCTGAAATGGGACTCAAAGCACGTAAACTTTGCTTGGATGGGTGTGGTCTTCCTATTTTTTAGTTATTTTCAATATTAGGGCTTTTATGATTTTAATGGGCTTTTGCAAAGCGTGGGGGAGCTATTTTACACAGCGTCTGTTTGAATTTGTCAGTGGATGGATTGGTCTGATTTTTCTCTTCCCGCCCCTTCTTCTCTAAAGATTTATGATATTCAGACTGGCAACAAGCTGTTGACTCTGTTTAACCCAGATCTTGCCAACAACTACAAGAGGAACTGTGCCACCTTTAATCCTACAGATGATCTTGTGTTAAATGATGGCGTCCTCTGGGATGTCCGCTCTGCACAGGCCATCCACAAGTTTGACAAGTTCAACATGAACATCAGTGGCGTCTTCCATCCGAATGGGCTGGAGGTCATCATTAATACTGAGATTGTATCCTTTGCACCCCTGCCTTCCTTGCCATTTGTTATCTAGCTTGTAATGCAGAAATAACTTTATCTTCCTACCAATACCTGGTTGAAGTGCCCATACAGGTAAATAACCTGTTTTTTCCTTTTGGTTTGAAGTATTATTGAATCTCCAGTGGATTCTTACTGATATTGGTCATTGACGACTTTTAACTGGCTTAAAAAATTTTTCTTTTTGTATTGGGAAGAGTGACCAGATTACTGCCTCCCTCTTCCCCTGGTGTCAGGTTGAGTTTTATCTCTCTCTGGAAGGATGCCAGTCAGAAGAGTCAAGTGAAGTGCTATTACTGGGAGAAGGGGAGCTCCTGAGGATATCATAGGAGATGTTTAGGCCATTCTTCAGAAATAGACATTCTGTGTGCTTTTGTTTTACCTTGATCTCATTGATTTTTTTTTTTTTTTAATCTCAGTGATTTTTAAAGTGTTAATATCTAGATGGAGGGAGAAAAGAACGTGATATTTCAGAATTTCCCTCATGAAACTATATAAGTTTTGGGAAAAATAGTTTTCCTTGACCACTGCCCTCCTAGTGGGACCTTCGAACCTTCCATCTTTTACACACGGTTCCTGCGCTCGATCAGTGTCGCGTGGTGTTCAACCACACGGGGACCGTGATGTATGGAGGTAATAAGCTTTAGTAGTACAGATGGTGACAAAATTTGTTGGTGAGAATAATGTTGATTTATCGTGAAAGGCCACTGGCTTTGACGATAAAATCTTGTATACATTCCAATTTTAGTATATGTGCTGCCGAAGCGAGCACAGAATCTTGTATACAAAGAAATTTTATGACTTAATTACCCATGTGTATCATTATGAACTTACAGAAAAATCTTCTCTGTCTTGCAATTTTTGTGCACCTTCAGCTTTAACAGTTCTTGGAATCTAGATGAGAGGTTGAGGATGTTTGGATATGCAAGGAAAATGCTTTGAGAGAAATTTATGACAGGGATGCTCTGAAATCTTGGTTGTCCATTGATATTTTCTCACTTGTGAATAGGGGGTGTTTCTGATTCTAATAGTGTTTCGCTTCCCTGTCCCACTTCCCCCCACTAGCTATGTTGCAGGCAGATGATGAAGATGACCTATTGGAAGAGAGGATGAAAAGCCCTTTTGGATCATCCTTCCGAACATTTAATGCAACTGACTACAAACCTATAGGTAAGTGTGAAGTGTCAGACATTGATGATTTTGCCTTGTATTGGTGTTCCTTATTTAAGATCCTCCATTTTCTGAGAGAATTATAATTTTTCTGCTTTGGAAAAGCAGGTGAGTTATGGAAATATTTATAAATAGTCACCTTGAATACCTTGAACAGAAAGACTAGTTTTAAGAGCACAGCAGTAGTCCAGTCCTAAGTGTTGTCACATTCTGTTTTCCAGCGACAATTGATGTGAAACGGAACATTTTTGACCTGTGTACAGACACCAAAGACTGCTATCTTGCTGTCATTGAGGTAAAGGGAGCTAGAAGAAATCTGTGTTTTATTCTGATATTTAAGATCATCTTCAACTTATACTCCAAGCATTTTGTCTGATATTATTCTGATATTTAAGATCATCTTCAACTTATACTCCAGGCATTTTGTCTGATATAAAATGTGTTTTAAAACTGATGCATTCATGGTGATAGACTGTGATAATATATTCGTTTGACAGGGAGATACACAGTCTAAGAGAAGTAATAGGAAAATTCTGATACAGAGCAGTGTGGACTGTCCCATCTCCTCTTATCTTGGACTCACTGTCAGACCTTTGTCAGAGGAGTTGCTCTCTTGCTTGAGCATCCTTGGAACAGAGTTCTTCCAGGGATGGTGGCCTCTCCTTTGCTGCCCAGGCCTTCTCTTCATGTTTTTCTTTCCCTCTCTGAGGGTCTGTCATAACTGAGATGTGGATGTAGGCTTCTGAAAACTAATTTCTCCTTGTGGACTGGGTGTCCCCATTTCAGAACCAAGGCAGTATGGATGCTCTGAACATGGACACCGTGTGCAGGCTGTATGAAGTGGGCAGGCAGCGTCTGGCAGAGGATGAAGACGAAGAGGAGGACCAGGTCAGTTGTCTTGGAAATTTCTTTCTGCTGAATATTGTTTATAGATACTATGCACTTCTGCTTTTAGCTGTTGGGTTTTTTCTTTATTTATTTTTAGAGATTTTTGCTATAGGGGTGTTTGCTACCTCTTGGCATATTCTCAAGGCCTGTAATGTGTCCTTAATCATTGAAACTGTTCAGAAGAAAGCAGATTTTTGTTATTATAAGACTTTAACTAGTACCTGATGATCCTGTGAGTTGCCTTTATAGATTAATTTGCAGGTCAGCAATCTCTGATTTTGTTCTAGAGATTTCCTTGAACTCACCATCAGAACCAGTGCCTTGTGTGGCTTCAGTATTGACAGGCGCCCATTTTCTTATTGTCAGTACACAACAGAAACGTCACTCTGCTGAGCTGTATCGCAGAAATGGCTTAATCTCTGTAAAGTTCTGGTTTGCATTTTCTCAGTTCTATGCCATAACCTGTTTTCAGAGTTTAGAAGGAGTTGCAGATAGAGGGAAAATAGTGATGTTTTTGAGTTAAACATGTATAAAATGTGGGTAGATGGTATCATGTCACACAGAATCCTAACTTTTCCTTTTTCATAGGGGATTTTAATTTATACTCGTGTTATGCTAGGTGCTTATCTGTGTGGTATGTCAGTTGATGCCATTTATGAAGAGTTTCTCAAACTACTGAGTTTCAGCAGCTCTCTCCTGTCTACTAGGCTCACACTACATTCTTTTTCTTGGCCTGATTCTTTAGACAAATCTGAGAAATATTTATTGCTGAGTGATACAAAGTTGAAAATGAATGACTGGAGTTTTACTTTCTTGTTGTAGACAATAAAATAGATAAAATGTCTTTTTTCCAGATCTTGGATTCATTTCCGTTTTTTCTTCCACTGTGGTGGTGTTTGGTCTTGGTGCTCTATATCCTCTTTAAAGGCCACACACTTCCTTCTATTTGCTTTGCTGTTGCTCTCATCCTCATCCCTCCCTGGTTCTTTGGTAAATCGCGCTCAATGAGCTTAGGGCTCAGAGAACAGCTTTCTGTTGGCATCCTTCCCCAGCATCTTGTACTTTAGATTTAAAATAATTTTTGAGTAAAATTTTTGAAAGTGGTAATTTTAAGAGTATTTTTTTTTGATGCAAGTCTGACACTACAGGCTGATGACTCATGTTTTTTCTGACAGGACTTAGCACTGACTAAGCAAGGGCAGTTTGTTGTGCCAATCTGAGATTTAGGTGTGTGTTCCACTGTTGGGCTTTATCCGTTATGAACCTCCTGAGTGAACCTTGTCACCTGGGTCAACAAGCTAAAACGGACTCGCCTTACAGTCCTCTGTGTGTGCTCTCTTGATCTGCACTGTCTCCGGTAGAATGTTCCAACTTGGCTAAGTATACATTTTATTAAAGCTCAGAGATAATTCATAATCTCAAGAAACGGGTTTCTGAGCAGAGTGAGGAGAAGGAGACTTGTATGTATTGGGGTTGGTGGTCACTGTGGGATCAGGGCAGAGCCTTCTGCAGGCCTTGCTTCTTGACCCAGCGGCACCAGTGCCTCCCTCTGTGGGAGGCCCTGTTAGGGGCAGTTTGCCAGTTTTGTCTTCCCCTGTCCTCACGCGCAGATGAAGAGAGTCAGGATTCTTCTTGGATACCATGGAAATATTACTTTATAAAGCACTTTACTGAAAATGACATCCTTAGTACAAAAGTTTTGTTTTTTCTTGGATAGACTTTAGTTTTCAGAGCAGTTTTGGGTTCACAGCAAAACTGAGCAGAAGGTACAGAGTTTTCCCATAAATACCTTGTTGCTGTGTGCACAGCCTCCTCCATTAACAACATCCCACATCACAGTGGTACATTTGTTACAACTGGTGAACCTAGGTCGACACATCAGTATCACCCAGAGTCCATAGATTACATTAAGGTGCAATCTTGGTGAGGACATTTTGTGGTTAGGACAAAGGTATAATGATGCTACCCCCATTGTAGTATTGTACAGAGTAGTTTCACTGCTCCAAAAATCCTGTGCTCCACTGATTCATTCCTCCCTCCCCCAGCCCCTGACAACCACTGATCTTTTTACTGTCTCCATAGCTTTGCCCTTTCCGGAGTGTCTTATAGTTGAATCATACAGTATGTTGCCTTTTCAGCTTGGCTTCTTTCAGTAGTAATATGCACTTAAGTTTGTTTGCTATCGTCTCGTGACTTAGTAACTCATTTCATTTTAATGCTGAATAGTATTCCATTGTTTGGATGTATCACAGTTTATCTGGCATAATTTGAATAAAGTTTTGGCACTTCAGAATAGAGCTCTTGTATAACTATACCTCAACAACAAAAAATCAACTCATTGTGCACCATGCACGGGTTTTATGTAGACATCAGTTTTCAACTCCTTTGTGTAAACACCAAGGAGTGCTATTTCTGGATTGTATGATAAAAGTATGTTTAGTTTTATAAAAAACTTCCAAAGCGGCTGTACCATTTTACATTTCTGCTATCAGTGAGTGAGAGTTCCTGTTGCTCCATGTGCTCAGCTGTATTAGGTACGGTTAGTGTTTTCCATTTTGGCCTTTTTAATAGGTGTGTAGTGGTCTCACTATATACTTACTTAAAATATTAATAGACTTTTATTCCTTTAGTTGAATAATCAAAAAGTATGGTTTAAGTTTTTTTTGAGTGGAAAGGAATTTAGGTCTTGGAGGTTTTTTTTTAATTGAAGTATAGTTGATTTATAAAGTTGTGTTAGTTTCAGGTGGACAGTAAAGTGATATTCAGTGATATATGTATTATATGTTTATATGTATTATATTTACATATTTAGTGGTATATGTATTATATTATTTATGTAATTTATTATATAATTATATATTATTATATTATATATACTGTATAAGATTCTTTTCATTATAGGTTATTACAGTATACTGAATATAGTTCCCTGTGCTTATACAGTAGGTCCTTGTTATTTATCTGTTTTTATATAGTAATGTGTATCTGTTAATCCCAAACTCCTAGTTCACCCGCCATCCTTTCTGCTTTGGTAATCATAAATTTGTTTTCTGTGTCTGTGAGTCTGTTTTGTAAATAAGTTCGTTTGTATCTTTTTTTAAGATTCCACATAGAAGTGATACCATAGTTAATATGATGTCTTTCTCTGACTTACTTCACTTAGATGGACCTAGAAATTATCATACTGTGTTGCTGCAGATTACATGTGTCATTCTTCTTTATGGCTAATACTCCATCATGGACATGTGCTATGTCGTCTTTGTCCTTTCATCGTTTGATGGCCACACTCAGGCTGCTTCTGTGTCTTGGCTATAGTGCTGCTATGAGTGAACATTGGGGCACATATATATATTTTTTTAAATTAGATTTTCATCTTTTCCAGATATATGCCCAGGAGAGGGATAGGTGGATCATATGGTAACTCAATTTTTAGTTTTTAAAGGAACTTTCATGCTGTTTTCCATAGTGACTGCACTAGCTTACATCCCTACCAACAGTGTAAGAGGGTTCCCTTTTCTCCACACCCTCTTTATTTAGCATTTATTATTTGTAGACTTTCTGATGATGGCCATTCTTACCAGTGTGAGGTGATATCTCATTGCAGTTTTGGTTTGCATTTCTCTAATAATTAGTGATATTGAGCATCTTTTTATGTGCCTATTGGCCATCTGTATGTCTTTGAAGAAATGTCTATTAAGGTGTTCGGCTCACTTTTTGATTGGGTTTTTTGATATTGAGTTATATGAGCTGTTTCATATGTTTTGGAAATAGGTCACATTGTTTGCAAATATTTTCTCTGGGTCTGTAGGTTGTCTTTTTGTTTATGGTTTATTCTGCTGTGCAAAAGCATATAAATAGTTTGATTACATCCCATATAATGCCTTTCTTTGTCTCTGATAACTCTAAGCTTTCTTGTCTTCCTTCCTCCCCTCCTCCCCTGTTCCTTTCCTTCCTTTGTTTTCGCATGGCATGTGGAATCCTAGGTTCCCAACCAGGGGATCGAACTCACAGCAGTGAAAGCACAGAGTCCTAACCACTGGACTGCCAGGGAATTCCTTTTTGTGGTTTTCTCTGAGTATTCATGGGATTCCCCTCTCTTCTTTATTAGTGTATTAGTTATACTTTTGTTTTCTTTTCATTTTCTTTAGTGGTTACCCTAGAGGTTGTAATATACATTTATAGGTAATCCAAGTCTCCTTTCAAATAACACTGTAGCTCTTCATGAATAGTGCAAGTAACTTAGGATAACAAAATACTTAGTCCTAATTCTTTCCTCTTGTCCCTTGTTTCATTGCTGTCATTCATTTCACTTACATAGAAGCATGCATAATTGAATACATTGTTGGTATTACTATTTTGAACAAACTACTGTTACTACAGAGATCAATTAAGAAAAATGTTTGTTCTCCCTTCACTTATTCCTTCTCCAGTGCTTCCCTCCAGAGTTTTTAACCTTACCTTCCTTCTCTCTGAAAAATTTCTTTTAACATTTTATTGCAAAACAAGTGTACTGGCAACAATGTCTCAGTTTTTGTTTATCTGAGAAAGTAACTCCCCTTCACTTACGAAGCACACCTTTACTGGGTATGAAGCTACAGTTTGGTGGTTTTGGTCTCTGAACGTGTTTAATATTCCGTTCCACTCTACTCTTGCTTTCATGGTTTTTGAGGAGATGTGGGATGTAATTTTTTGTTCCTTTATAGGTAAGATGTTTTTTGTTCCTTTACAGGTAAGATGTTTTTTGTCTCTGGCTTATTTCAGGATTTTTTCTTTATCTTTGATTTTCTGTAATTTAAAAATGATGTGACTAGGTGTGGGGTTTGGGGGCATTTATTCTCTCCAGAGCTTCCTGGATATTTGGTTTGGGTTCTGACCACCATTAACTTGGGGGACATTTTCAGTCATTATTTCAAGCATTTCTTCTGTTCCTTTTTTTCTTCTCCTAGAATTCTCATTACCTGTATGTTATGCCTTTTCTAGTCATCCCACAGTTATTGGAT